TGATAAATCTATTTTTACAACTTGTGAAACAGAATTAGAGTACATAGTCAAGCCTCAAAGCCTTCGTACAGTTCCTGGTCCGTATGATATTTCACAAACCATCGATGAAGAGCCATATCAACCAAATTTAAAGAACTTTCCTAAGACCACCTATGGTACTGGCCGGACAAAGAGGACCAGAAGTTTTCAATTTTGTTGGTATGAGCAATTTAAATGGATAGAATATAGTCAAAGTGAAAATGCTGTATATTGTTTTCCTTGTAGGTTTTTTTCTCTTAAACAAAAGAACGATAGTGATGGTATGTTTATAAGTACAGGTTACACTAATTGGAAAAATGCAATGTCTAGTAGGGGTTTATTGAGACATGATAATACTAATAGTGATGAACATAAAAACTACTATTTCATGGATAGAATTTAAAAAAAACAAATTAAATAAGACTTCTGTGTTATCACAATTAAATAATCATCATGCTAGTATTGTAATTGAAAATAAAAAATATATGAAAGCAATAATAATTTCTTTAAGAATGTTAGCTATTCAGGGTATTGCCTTCCGAGGACATCTTGAAAATGATTCTAGTATAAATCAAGGAAATTTCTTAGAGTTGATGAAAGTTATTTCTCTTTTTGATAATGTTGTTGAAAAGAAAATGAATGGCCCAAAAAATGCTAGGTATCTTCATCATTCAATACAGAAAGAATTAATTCACATCATGGCTAGTATGATAATCAATAAAATATCTTCTGAACTAAACAAATCTATGTATTTTTCAATAATGATAGATGAAACTAAGGATATTACAAAAACTGAACAATTATCAGTTGTTGTTAGATATTATTATAACAATGAAATTAAAGAGCGATTTTTAGGGTTTACTCCACTAAAAAATTTAGATGCAAACACATTATTTAATCATATTCAAGTAAAATTAAATAAATGTAAGATTGATATAAATAAATGTGTTGCACAGACATATGATGGAGCTAATGTTATGAGAGGTTCAATTAATGGAGTTCAAGCTTTATTTAAAAATATAGTTCCTCATGCTGTCTATATTCATTGCCATAATCATTGTCTTAATTTAGTTCTTGTAGATGTAGCAAAAAATGTAAATGAAGTCAATTTTTTTTTTAATTTTTTACAAGATTTATATAATTTTATATCTGGATCTTCAATTCATTCTAATTTTATTGAGCTTCAAAAACAAATTTTAAAAATTCCAAAACCAATTGAACTTAAAAGATTATGCCTTACTCGTTGGTCATCTCAAATTCATACATGTCGAGCTGTTAAAGCTACTTTGGAAGTTATACTGTTGTTATTATATAAGATTTCAAATGAAAAAAGTATGCGTTCCTCAGAAGCTACTGGTTTACTTAAGAACATAGATTTTAAATTTATATATTTATTAGTTTTTTTTAATGATTTACTTTCCCAAATTAACTTGTTGACCAAATATTTACAAGATAAAAATGCTGATATGGCCAAAGCAATTATATTAATTAATTCTCTTAAAGAACACTTTTGTGAAATAAGAAATGATCTAAGTTATCATTCAAAATTATATAGTGAATCCAAATTAATGGCAAATAAATTAAATATAAAACAACCTTCTGCACAAAATAAAGAAAAAAACAGAGTTAAAAAATTACCGAAACATTTGCAAAAATTTATAGTTGAAGGTAGTTCATTGGAAAGTTCAGTATTAAATTCAGAAACTGATTTTCGAAAAAACCTTTATCTAATTATTATAGATAAAATTAATGCTGAACTAAGTAAAAGATTTTCTAATAACGGAGATTTATTGATGGGCATTAGTGTAATGGACCCAAGAAATAGTAATTTTTTGGATAAAAATCTTATTCTTCCATTTGCTTTAGCTTATATGTGCGATATTGATTCTTTAGTTTCTGAATTAAACATTATTAGAAAATCAATAAAACAATTTGAATTAAAATACCATTCTATAAAAACTATTTTTCAATTTCATAAATTTTTATTGGATTATCAATTAGCATTTTTTGAATTATACAAGTTATGTATTATAGCAATTACAATACCTGTATCCTCAGCAGCATGTGAAAGAACTTTTTCATGTATGAAAAGGATTAAATCATACTTGAGAAATTATATGCTTCACGACAATCTATCTAGCTTAAGCATAATTGCTATAGAAAAATCTGAAGCAAAGTCATTAAATATTGAGGATATAATCAATAATTTTGCTGAATGTCATAACAATAGAAGAATTTTATTAAAATAAATTATTTATATTATTATGTATTTTATTGCTATTGGTGTGTTGCATAGGTACTTATATAATATATTATCTTATTGTTCTTATTATTTACAATTAATTTTTATTAAGTGAACAAATAATTAATATTAAAAGTTTGAACTGTTCAATTTAAACTTTAAACACAGTTGTTTTTTATTTTATCTTATTATTTGTATTGTTTTTTTGTATATAATAAAATATATTCATTGAATTGGTATTACAATATAATATAATGTTTATTATCAGTTTAAAATATTTGTAGTTATGTACTACAATTGATGCCTGATGGTGTAATTGGTATTGAGTGTAATTTTGGGTTAGGGAATATAAAAATTAAAAAGTGTTTACATGAATATATATTTTGTTAGGAAATAAATACTATTAATACGTGTTTACAAATCATTCTTTTGGTAAGTTTACACGATGAAGTAGGTATAAAAAAAATTGAAAAATCGGAAGTTGACCCTCCCCCTCTGCGCAATTGCCTGTCATCACTATTGTTTATGTATATATATCAATTCAAAAATTTTGCCCCCCCTAAAAAATTTGGGCCCCAGCCTGGCCCACCTGGTATTAAAATTCTGGCGCCGCCACTGATTCTGTTATGAACGTTGAGGAATTTTGGTGCAGAAGTGCAACATTACATATTCAACTACGGGAAATTGCCTTACGTTATTTAGTAGTATTTTCAACTACGTATTTGTGTGAACAAGGATTTTCCAGTATACTTGTGATCAAAAATAAACAGAGAAATCGCTTGGTCGTAAGTGACGACATGCGTTTAGCCATTAGCAACATTCATCCGAGAATTGAAAAACTGGTCAAAGAAATGCAAAATCACACTAAGTAAATTATTAGTAAAGTTTAATAATTATATATAATAGTACAGTAAAATAATAAAAGTTCACATTTTTCAATAAATTTTGTATATTCTTGTAAATGAGCAAAAAAAAAAAAAGTCTTCCTCTAGTTTGTGTAAAATTGAGGTGGTCCGTGACCTATAAAATATTGTCGAAGTGGTCCGTGGTGGTAAAAAGGTTGGGGAACACTGATCTAGATTCATAATTCATCGAATTTGTTTGGCGACAAAAACCTTGCAAAAACCTCCATTTGATAGACTTCTAATGGATATTGAAAACTAATTTCGTCAGTAAAAAAATTTTGTTTGAAATTTTAAAATGTTTTTCATAATTACATAATATTTTTACCTGATTTTTTAATATCTACTAATTATTTTTAAATAACTTAATGGTACCTACCTAATTAAACGTCAACACTTATTATACGAATATATACTTTTTTATTACCTATTTAATAAATTATAAATTCGAATAAATATTCGAGATAACATAGATGATATTAAATATTATTACTTATCAATAAGTTATAATCAATCAGTTTCAATCGATAATCAGGTCAAAATTCAAATAATTATATGTATAGCCTATCATTTGGTAACATTACATCTTATAAGTATCTAGGCAGATATACTAAATATGTTATATTATGCTTATCAAAACTTCATTTTTTATTAGATGAATTACTTATAATACTTAGTAAATAATAGTGCATTTTATACAATATTTTATTGTGAAAAGTAATAAAAGAAGGCCAAATGGTTGTAAGTTAAAAAAATGAACTAGAGAGAAATAAGAATACTATAATGAATAACTAAAAAAATTTACTAAAGTAGAGATTTTTTCAATTGTCTAATAACAAATACTACTTCTGAAATTTAGAACTATCTCAGTTACCAAATAATAATTAACACGCAAAAGATAACACACGATAATTTGAAGTCTAAAAACCCAGCGTACTGGCAATCAAATAATTATTGGCAAACAACTATAGCTAAAAGCGTATTTGATCTTTCTTTTATCTTAGATTTCAAGTCAAAAGAAAAAATGTATAAAAATTCAATGGGATACTGCTCAAATTTTTTCACAACTTCTGTCACTGGTGAACAAGTAAAAAGAAAATAGACGGCTTATTCTATATCAAAAACTTGTATTTTTTATGTAGTATAAAATGCTCATAACGCAGCTAAAAACTGAATAATCGAAAAAGAAACTCCATCAATAATATGTCGACTCACTCTAATTTTCAAACTGACAAAACTAGATGTGAACTGCTGATCATACATTTGTTATATTACACACCCGTGATACATAGACAACAAATGTCAGTGTAGCTTCCTCTTAACATATTATTTATTTATATTTCTTATTATACCCATAAATATTTTTTATTTCAGGAAAATATTAACATTGACCGGTTAAGAAAAGTAATCAACCAGTTTTTGTCAGACTGCAATTAGGCTAATACCCATTTATGACGCCCATTCAATCAATTATCTGTACAGCTACCGTGTAGTATTTCAACATCCATGTCGGCCGCCAACTATGTTTCTTAATTTGAAAAGAATTTAGAACATCAAACCTTAAAACAAAAAGTTTGAAGATCCCAAAATATTGGTTTATGAATGAACAGTATAATTACACAAATAATCGTATATTTTATATATTTATAATCTCACATTCATCAATATATATTAACATAATAATAACATACTTATTTTTATTTTGTACTAAATCACCTTGAATACATGAATAATAATTAATCATTAAATTTAATTATTTGAACAAATCCTTGGTTAAAAATTATTCAACAAAAAAGGAAAAAAGATTATAATCAAAAATAAGAAATATCATAACATAATATCATCTCAGTAATATTTGAGTAGTTGTGATAGTGATTTACAGTTTTTGCTTAACTCAATAAGTAATTAACTACAATATGTATTTAAAATTGAAAACAATTATATCTAAATGAGATAGCAGATCTAAATTGCTAAGTAACTTATATTATAATATACACGACAGAAAATAAAACTATCTTGTCTTAAACCGTATAACTTACTACACAGTAAGAGTCATGTATACAACCTGAACATTATATAATATTTAATCATCATTGTCATTATCTGAAGTTAAATCAATACCTGCAAAAACAGCAAAATAAATATACTAATATCAATACTAAATGAAAAATAATATTTTAACAAACTTTTTTAGATTTAAACATAATATGTAATATCAATGTTATAGATGTGATATATTCTGCAAAATATAAATATATAAATATTGTAGTATTCATTCATACAAAAAAAATGCAAACATTTTTTATACTCTTATGTGAGAGTAACCTCGATGGCTCACGGAAATTAGCAAGATTAACTCACACTTAACCTCACTTTATTATTCCAATCACTGAACACTGCTATTTTTTGTTCATTGGCAATTCTAGGAAACTAAATTTAATGAAAACCGATTTAATTGAGTGTAAGGTCTGGTCCAAGAATGTCAAAAATTTATAAATTGGGCCAAATATATGAATAGTTAACATGAAAATGTATCGAAAAAAAATATTTTTGATTTTATTTATTACTTACAATACTTATTCAATTACAATTGATCAGAAAATAAGATAGAAAAGTAACATAATGAGTACCCTTCACTAACATACTTAGTTGCGACATAACATTAAGGGAGTGTAATTGTTTTTTATAGATTTATTTTTAGAGTTAATTATCCAATAATATTCCTATACGTTGGGCTTAAAAATAAGGCGACTATTTGACATTCCTAGTGTGATCTAACAGGACAACAATTAATGACCACCTGAAGTAACTCTTATATGAGACGGAGTGTAGTAACATCAAATTCTAATGACATTGAAAATTGTCATAAGTATTTTATAATTTTAATTACATACCCATGTTGGCAAGATAATTATATCCACTGCCGACAAGATTTCTAATAACACCTGTTCTAATTGATCCGTAACTAGAGATTATTGGCAACTGGATTTGAGGAGTTTGTTCAACTTGTGTTTGTGTATTTGGTGGAGCAACATCAATTGCACTTGAAGGTTCATCGTCAGATATAGACTAAATACAAATTGAACAATTATTAAAAATATATATTATTTTGGTGGTTAACAGACTGGTAGGTAATTTAAACAATGATTAATGCTTAGTTTCAGTTATCTTAGCACAAAGGCTAAAATAAGTAAAACATCCAACTAAGAAGTTAGCAGATTAAGTTATTGATATAAATAAAACAAACATTTCTTTTATAATCAAAAGTTAAACAACACCAGTTGTTTTGATTTTTGGAATAAATATAACCTAACCGAAACTCCAATATACATGACTTTCTAATACTTGATCTAGATTCCTGTATCAGAAACAAAAGCAGATTCCTGTATTTTTGTTAATAGAGAAAATAAAAAAGTAAAAATGTTGTGATATTTATTGATGATGGTCTTTCATACATTAACAAAATATTTGAAACAACAATTCAATATTACCAACGATTCAATTTTTACGAACAAAAATTGAAGGAATATCTGATGGATCAATTATAATTTACCAAGCGTTGCATTGTAAAAGAATATTGGGGGATTTTAATACGACTGAAGTAAATCAAGTTCAAATACCAACAGACTCACAATATTCATTAGATGGTAAAAAACAAATTAATCAAACTAGTTAAGTACATGTGAAGCGGTCGGATGTTTATTATATCTCAGTCAAATAACAAAACCAGACATAACTTTTTTGATAAATCTAGTTAGTAGATAAGTTGATGATCCAAAAGAACAACACTAGGTAGCATTGATATGAATTTAAAAATATTTAAAGTGAACTATTAATTTTGGAATGATTACTTCAAGAAATGTTAATTCTAGACAAAAACGCATGGTTGCTAACTATGAGTGTGACTTAAATACAAGAAGGTCAACATCATGGTCAGGATTTACATTAGGATTGGAAGATTAGCATAGAGTTCAAGTCGTCAACATTGTGTCAGCCTAAGCACAACCGAATCAGAGTACTTAGCTTTAAGTCAAGCAGTACAAGAATTAACTTAGTTTTTAGTTTTTAGGTAAATTACTAGACCAGCTGAAAATGGACCAGAGAGAATAAGCTCGCAAAAAATCTATTTTCAAAGAAGAACCTAGCATATAGATGTTTGCTATTACTATAAGAGAAAAGTTCAATGAGAGCTTTTACATACCCAGCAAAAAACAGGTTACAAACATTATGACCAAGTCAACTCCACGAGCTTAGGGAGATGTTAAGAGTAGTATTGATGTATGCGGGAATCATAGACAAAACAACACCCTATATCATCTAGTTTATAAGTAACCTATTCATAATTTTTTTTATTAATTTTACATTATTTTACACTATTTCACAATTTTATAATACTATAGCATATTTGTCCTGTGTAGTAGCTGATATACATAATGCCTTATAATCATAAAAAACACTATTGTATATCATATGATTATACTTTTTAATATATTTTATACATCAGATTTTATCATTATATACCATTAACTTCTGTATATCTGTATACTTCAACAATAACATACACCAGAAATCAGCTGAAAATAATTTATGTGTATTACCTGTACACTATCATTACTGTCATCTGATATAAGGATAGACTCATCTGATATAAGGATTGACTCATCTGATAAAAGGATTGACTCATCTGATATAACGATTGGCTCATCTGATGATTGTGGTCGATCTACGTTATGCATTATTCTACTATTTTGTCTTTGAGATACTTCTCTATTGTGAGACGGAACTTCAAGCACAACAGAACTATCCCTAAGATTCCCATTATCAAGTAATGCTAATTGTGTTTTCTTCTTCTTAGTTGCATCCTTATCTGAAATTCAATGTGAAATGCTTTATAAATATTATTTAAGAAAAATAAAATAATGACGTTATCAGTAGAATAATGTATTCTATGTGTTTGTTACGTAGTCAGATCGATATTCTCACTTAATAGCTGAACAAGTCAGTTTTTTACATCTTCTCAAAGGTCAAATAAATAATAATAGTTAATATTAGTATTAGAGACTACATTAAGAAAAACAAATTTTAAATGTAATGTTAAGGACTCTAACTTTGTATACAAACAAAACTACGATAACTATAGTTCTTCAAGCAGTTCATTATAAAAGTTATGAATTTGTATGAAATACTAGGAAAAATAATGTAAATTTTGATCATGTCATTGGCATCAACTAAGGATTATAATAAAATGTGTAGTTGGAAGGGAGTAGAAAGGGGTATGGAATGATGGTGTGGGTGGTTAGGTTGTTATTTGCAAGACCATTTTTAAAAAAGTTTGTCGCCACATTTATGATTGAATGATTGCTACTTTTAACTTAAAACTAAACTAAAATGATTGTATTTAGTATTGAGCAGATAAATTTGACTGACTACAATTTTAGGCAATGTTTTGGAGTACCTATACTTATTCCATTCGATAATTAATACTTGGTATTTAATAAATGCAATATTAAATTAATAAAATATTTAAAAATAATAATTGATTAAATGAACTAAACTCTAATAAAAATAATATGTGACGTTCTGTTAAGATCCTTCAGTGGGTGAGAGCTCCCTAGACTTTTATTATATTGGACTTTAATTTGAGGATTTGTTATCCATGTGTAATCAATTGGTTATTGATTTTTTAAAGGTAGTTTTATAAATCATAGCCCATTACAAATTAATACAATAATAACAAATTATACCTGCAACTCCTTGGCAAACTGCACAATACCACTCTTGGTCACCTTTAATAGAACTGCACAGCCTATGTGTTCCATTTGATCCACATGAATAGCACAGAATAATTTCCCATGAGCCGCTGTTTGGAAAAAAAATTATATACTAATGCCACTTGAATTATTACTCTTTCATATTTATTTAAGCTTTTCCTTCTTCTCTTTTTTAAAATTAAGTTTATTAATATTATAATAAAAATGCCTATCAAGATCAAGTACCAAGTACCTAAAACTATCTAATTTAAAAAAATTATATTGATCAGTTATTTTAGAAAAGTATCAATAGTATCATAATTAAAACATTTTCAATGTACAAGGGTTTATAACTCAATAAGCAATAACTATTTAAAATTTTGTGAATTTTAGTAATTATTATTACCATATTTATACATTATTATGTGTGATATTAAAAAAAAATTACTTACGATTCGAGTTGAAATTTTCTAGTTTCTTCATGGGGACATAGACAGGTTTCAATATTGCAGATACTATGCCTTTCTGAGAGTTCAGCATACGCATTGGGTACAGTTTCCCAAGAGGCGTCCCTATGATTTAATTTATTGAGAAAACAGTATATATATTATACTCTGTCCAAGATAACAACAGACCTAACCTAACCAGTTTTTAGGTCAGACGTATTATCGGACATTACACCTACCAAGTTAATACATGAGGCCCAGTACTTTGAAACAAAGCCACACCTATGCACAGAAACCGACCGCCGAAGTCTGTTCTTATCTTGAATAGAGTATAGTAGAAGATAATTTAAAGCTTATCCTCATAAATTAAGCAAAACCATAGATAGTTCAAACAATTATAAAATGAGTGATAAATGACTGCATTAGCATTGCCTATATAATACATATTATGTTATTTAATACATGATATTAGTGTATGCATATTAATTTTGTACACAACATAAAAGTTTTTAAGACTTTTTATATGCAATAAAATTAGAAGGACCATCTTCTAAAATTACAACTAATTAATTATTTAAATTTAATTTTTACAATTCTACATTTACTTTTTAATAAAATTATATTAAACCCATAAAGCATCTTTATTCAAACGAGCTTATTTTTAGTAACTACTTATAATTTTGAAATTTTAACTTATTTGATAAAATGTAATTATTCTTTTGTGTCTTATAGAGATAAAAAATTAAAATACAAAATTTTTAGTTTCATATTTTGAAGCAGAATATTTTTTGTAGTATTCAGAGATTCATAAAATAAAAATTTAGTACAAATTATATTTAATTCTAACCCATAAACTAACATAACAATTTTATTCTATTTATACGAAAATTAAATATTGTATTGTTAATAATTTTGTACTTGATAAGGGAACTAATAAAATACTTTTTTAATATTTTAACTTTTTAATCTTGTTCTTATAGTTTTGCACATACAGTTTACAATTCAACAATTGGTTTAAATAAAACTCAATTTACCGTGATGGTATGTATATTCCAAGAGTGAGCATCGTAGACTTGAATTTTTCAACATTATTACATAGAGGACATTTAAAAAAGTAGCCGGCACTTAATGCTAGATCTTGGATACATTCTCTGTGAAACCAGCCATTACTTTTGCAGCAGGGTGCCCAAATTGTAGTCGGCGAAGGAGATGACTTCACATTATTTTTACAAATTGCACATTGAGTAGGAGTAGAATTTTGTAACTTGTATTTTGATGACTTTATAATTTGCGGTATCCGATGCTCTTGGCAAAATGATCTAAAAAAATTTGTTTCAATGAGAATAATATAGAAATAGGTTTACAAATAAAAAATAAAATACACACTTGAATGACTGAAAAAACTGATGCATCGATTTGTTTTTCAGTCCACACGGAAGATGGAAAATTCTTTTACAATTTACTCCACAACATGATAAAGTTGCACCCTTTTTATTGCAGTAATAGCAAATCTAAAACAAAAATTATGATGTTACTTTGAGCATAGGGGCAAATAATGTGGGGCTTGGGAGAAGTGGTGGCCTAGGCCTCCCTGATTGCATTCGAGGCCTCCTCTAAATATGTACTCATATATTAAATGTTGTTAATCCAGTATTAATATTTATAATGTATTATTATTGATGAATTGCGCTAAACAATTATATTGGATGTTTAAATGCATTATAACCTAAATAAACTAGGTTATTGCAATAGTATACACACTACATAATTTAATCACTTTAGAGAATTAAAATGGCTGTGTAAGGGGACTATTATGTAGGGACTACCTATACTTAAGCCATGGACTATACCGTTATGCTGTCATTTTTTTGTTGTTTGATAACAATATAGGCCTGTGTGAAATAACCTTCCATATTTAAGCCATGAATGAGATCAACAATGCTTCAAGAAAGATAGAAAGATTTAGTAGTTTAGAGTAGATTATTATTGAAATATATAATATTGACACATTATCAGAATTAAATAATTTTGCTAACTCCAACAAGATTTTATTGAATAATGTAGTAACCTATTAATTAATAATAAATATAAATATATTATATTAAGTAATATTTTTATTTGATAATGAAGGAGTTGTAGATGTTGAGTTGTTTTTTTGTTAAAATATCAAAGGGCTTGAGCTCTTGTCAATATAATTCTCTATTTGCGCTTATAACTATAATATTACACACTGCATAATATAGAAAGAACATACTTCTTTGGATCCTGTAATCAATACAGCTTTAATATCTTTCAATAAAAATCCCCAGATCCCTTCATTGTCTTGCCCATTTTGAACGGCCCTTGACGATAATAGCTGAAAACAAGTATACAGTTAAATTCTACTAATAATTTATTAATATTTGAGGGAATCCACTTACAATACAAAAATAATGAACAATAACATCATTGAACTGATAGAGCAGGCCATATAACTTTTCACTAATTTCTTTTTGACCACACAACATACATGCTTTATTATGACTAACATTCAGCTCTATCATTACATTTTTGATTATGGGTTGACAAACTGTTGGCTTAGATAATACTCTATTACCTATAAAATATTTAAAATTAAGTTTTAAAAATGAATAATAATTGTTATATTCTATACAATTAAATCACAATTTACTATCATTTAATTCTGTACTGTTGCAAGGTATCAGTTTAGAATAATAATCAACAGAAAAACAAAGAAAAATCTACTACCTATAAGTATATGTAGTTGCGAAGTTCATAATTAATTCAACTGTTTTTTTTAGTAAGGACTAATAATTCAAGAGATTTATTGAATTATAACTGTGACACTATTGTGACTTACTATAGTAGAAACATTGGACAAAATTATTAGAAACCAAAATATATTATTTTCCTTTATCGTTCAGCTCCATTGTTGTACACAGACACACCTAGTTATGTTTATTATTGTCGCTGTGTCTCATTAGGTACTTATGTTATTTACATAAACTTTATAACCTTATAAAAGACACAACTAACTGTAAAGTTGGGTAAGTATAATACCCACTTTTGTTTAATAATATCTTTGAAAATTAGATTGGGCTCTCAGCCCGTGAATAAATAAAATTATTATCACTGATAATGTATCTAAAATGAGCATAAAAGAATTAAAATATGTTTGGGATGATTTTATTAAACACTTGGTGGAAAAATCATAGTAGTTTCATGATAAACTTACGAGTTGAATAATTGACTTACAAAATCTATTGTTAAATTATGTTCTCAAATATGTGACTATTATGTTTATCTAATACGTTCATCATATTTCTATTCCGTCACAATAATTTTAGTAATCGTTAAACAAATCAAACAATTAATATTTAATGCTTTGTTAGTTGTAGTGAACTAATCACTAGTGTAGTAATGTTGACCATTATGTTTGCCGTGCGGTATTTAGTGAAAACAATGTGATATGGCTCCAAAAAGTCTATGTAGATTTAACAAAACACTTTAAAGTGAATTTATAATTTATTAAAAAAGTTAAATCATATAACAACTGTGAAGTCTATTGTATGATTTGTTCAAGTTGTTTTTGGGTTAGTCATGATGGGCAATCTGATATTAATGATCATCTCAAAACAAACAAACATAAAACACGCAAACATGCTACCAATAGCTTGGTACTTAAATTTTTACTCCATTAAAAGCTGACGAAAAAGCATTACAACTTGAGTCTAAAGAAGTTACATTTGTTCATATAATTGTACATAATCAAAGTTTCAACTCTATGACTTGTACATCTGAAAAATATTTGATGAAAAAAATGTACTGCTACTCATACCAAAACTAGGTATATTGCAGTAAATTGTATTGCACCGTATACTGCACAGTTTATAAAAGCTGAGTTAGATAAAGCTTAATTTGTTTACCTAGTATATAAAATAAATTAAATAGAAGTACAGTTAAGGCTTCATTAATAATTAAAACAAGTTTTGATAACATGTCTTGTTGCCAGTTTTATGAGTCAATACTTGCAAACAAAGCATTGGTAAAAAAGTACATAGTTCAATCAAGTATCAAGAAACTCACTCTCTAGCTGGCAGCGAAAGAGAACAAATTAAACCTCGAGTTAAACATTTCAAATTGTATTCTGTATTCCTTAATTTTTAAAGCTTCAATTATTATTATCTATAATGAGTGTTACAAAGTATTATATTGTATAGTCAAAATATCAATGAAAAAAAATTTGTCCCGTTTCTTGCCAAATAAAACATGGTAACCCTAATATTATTACAATAAGAATTTAAAATCCTAAATAAAATAAAAAGTCAAAGTAAGACCACATATGGCAAAGTGTCACTTCCCTTGGAATGTGTGAGTTGGTTACATAATTTGTGGTGTACAATAGTTGGAAATGACTAGAACAAATTTATTGAATAAAATTTGTCATGCTTAAGAAAAACCAAAATAATGTATAGATAATCCTATACATATTTGTTCTGACCAAGATAAGATTAGATTTATTTACAATAATATTCAAAAAATAACCCAATAATTAGGTACCTATAGACATTCATTAAATAAATATTAAATATCATTTAATACTCTTAAGATTTTCAAAAAATAAATTATGTAATAACCTATATGTAGGTTAGGTGGGTATTATATTCAAAACATGCAAAAATATGCTAAAAAAAGGCTGCTCTAATTAATCAAGAATAATCCAAATTGTGACAACCAATCTGACAACCAACAACAAACTTGGACTCAAGAAAAAAACAAGCAAATCCAGTCTTCAAAGATTAAGAGTTTATTTTATTTATTTATGAATTTTAAATGGGTGCAAACCTTTTTAGCGTTCCTAACTTAATTGAGCATTAAAAATATTATGAAAGTTGGATAAATGAGCTAAAACACTTAGCATTTACTACTAAAAAGTAATGGCAATGTTTTACTAGTTAGGAGTGGACTATACCAGTCCACTGTTCCGGTTTAATATAAAATATAGGCCACTGAACATAAAATATTACTTGTAAATTTAAATGAAAATCAGTAAAATAAAAAAGAAGTTTACGTTCAAAAGAACAAAGGGAAAGAAGTTTCAGTAATGGGTGCTTATTTCCTTTCAGTGCTTACGCTTATTGTACACACCTCGGTACACAATGTGAAATGTTGGTTTAGACACGAGCACTCACGGGGCAGACCTCTAGATGAACGCAAATATTGATTGCGATTTATAGTTACCATAGCTATAATAAGGTAACTATAATATAGTATTATAACAATTTTACACACAACTATACAATGTAGGTATCTAGTTAGAATAATAATAATAATAATAGTAAGGTCCGCTTAATATTTTTTTCCGTTATACCTACCTAAAACAATTATTTTTACTATTCATAACTTGGCGGCTAGCAACAATATCAGAATGTGTAAAATGTACAAAGTTCAAGAAGACTTGAACGTCCAAATTCGAGAAAAAGTATCAAAAATATAAAAACTAGATGGTTAGGTACATACTTCTCCTGGTAACAGGCGCCATAGATGTAAAAAATGTTTGTGCAGCCTTCCTATGGATTCACGTTCATCACCACTCCCGCCGCCGAACCTGTTGCTCTGATTACAACGAAGCACAGACTTTTATATATTTTATAGAAGCCTGTACGACGAAGAAAAAGAATACGGTCTGCGCTGGTCTTACTGTAGCTGATTACGATTTCCAACCGCACACTGCTCACAGGATATCCTACCGGTAACGACAACGCAACGGTAGGTTAATGGACAACACGCGACGTACCCGGCGCCCTTCAAAAAACGAGGAGCGCGCTCGGCACTTTGAACGATGTGGTTGCAGACGAAACAAAATCAAAAGCGCAACGTAGAGTGTACACAAAAAACGATACCGACAAATATGCAAGAACAGCCAGACCGGCGGACCCGTGGTAACAAACAAAGTGTGGGTGGCTGAACGGACGTACAACAACACAAGACGAACGAAGAACAGAGAAAGACAATTACGCAGGGCGACCGGCGACGAGTGTTTCGGCAAAGGTTACAGTTGTTCGATTGGGACGCTTGCAGCGGTGAACCATAGAATATCACGATGTTCGTGCATTTGAGACGGTGGCAGAGTGCGGGGTAGAGGCGTGGGTGTATCGGTCGTTGGCGCGTCCAGCGACATTCCTTTGTTGTTTGAGCGGGATTTCGATGGAGGTCACAAAACGGGTTCCGCGACGTTGCCAATTTTAAGCCGTCAGTCATAAGGACTACTAACGAACTGGTCCCAGCTGATACAGTGAAGAACCTCCCCCGACGATGTTATCGAATACGATCTTTTGACGGGATCTCATGGAGGTACATTGTACATGCTGTTTATAACGCGTAGTGCGTACTTTAGCAGTTGAATAAACCTTGAAGGTACATGACCACACAGCACACGCTTTTGTGGAGGTAGCGGTAAAAGAGAATACATGCAGAACTTATGAGTGTCCTCGAATTGCAACTGTAAACGGCAGCTATAAAATATCAAAATATTCAGATTTTCATCAGTAAAATAATTATTAATTGTAATGGTGGGACACTAGTTGTTTTGTTCGTATGGCTACCGACCAACATGCTACACTCGCTTCGCTTGCATTCCGCGGTTTCACGAATGAGCGTGTGAGCGTCGCACACTTTTCGTACGTGCGTGCGTCACGAACGTGTCAACAGCCGGTCTCAACTATATTCACTCGCGACTTGACGCATTACAATATTTTTAATTTTTTTTATTAATACTGAAGCTAAAAATGAAATCGGCGTATTGGAAGTCCTTGAAGCCATGTGCACAATACAGTATATACCATCTACTTTACCTACTTATAAATAACAATTCATTTTAAATTAAATTAAAATAAAGAGAAATATTTTTAACTACATTTTTTGATTATTGAGACCGCAAAATCTAAAACCGACAAATAGTTATTTTGATGGGGAAATTATTTTTAGTCATTTGAACAGCCGATTTGGATTAACCTCGTCGATTCTGTGCAACTGCCCGACTTCCTACAATTTCAATCGTCATGTAATGTTATCAATGGATTGGCTGGGGGGAGAGAATACTGAATAAAACACTTATTAGTATATTGGCCACGCGTCCTCCCTTCATATTAATATTATTATTTGTTTCACTTCCTTCGTTCCTTCATTTAGAGGGCGGAGAGCTTAGACGATCCTGTTTTCTCGGGTGATATGGACGGGAAATTTCCTATATCGTTATCTGTACATTTTAATTCATGTCATAATTTATGTACAAGTACATAATTTTTTAATATAACATGGTTATAATAATATTTAATGTTGGTTTTTACTAGAGTCTAGAAGTAATTATTTTATGATGGACAGGGGTATGGGATTTATTTGCAAGACTGAAGTCCCAATAATATTTTACACCTGGTCACGCCAATGCTGCAGCATCGTCCATACGGTAGAATATTAGTATAGTAGGTAAATTATTTTAGATTCTGAGCAGAGCTATGTGAATTTATTGAGTTTACAATGATTTGGGTTTTTTTTTATATTTAAATTGTTTGTGTATGTGACACTTTATGACATCATTTCTTCATGTATATAATACTGTATGCGTGTATGTCACTGAACTTCTCCTAAACACTGGACCGATTTGAATGAATTTTTTGTATGGGTGACGCCCTGGATGGTTTAGATTCACAATTGGATCTTATAGGTCCGACCCGAGGATGTTGCACAAACAGGGATTTTAAGATTTACGAAGGCAATATTTGTTTATACGGTTGCTATTGGTTATAGAAGAAGTATAAATATGTTTAGTAGAAATTGGTATATTTTTTCTGTTTATTGGTTGCCTGCAGTGGAAAGATCAGGTATAAGCATGCATACAATTGAATTTTAGCACATTGACTCCCAATATGGTTAAGTTGCACTTATGGTCGCTCATCGGCGTGTCCGCAATCAAAATAAAAATAAAACATATTATTTATATAAAGTACTCATCAAGCGGGGTCCGCAATCCACAGCATGTAGGCATAATATTCTGCTCGCATTATCACCATCGAGTCTCATTTAGAGTTGTAATTTTTAACGGGCCACAAAGTTCACGGCATAAGCTTGTTAATAACCTAACCTGTGATACATTGACGAAATATACAATTTAAAGTATAATAATAATAACATATAATACTTATTATTTTATTATATTCAATTTGGTATACATATCATATATTAGCCTATGGATTATAGGTATCAATATATCATATTAAAGATATGACACGCCACGGCACCATCAAGTACCTACCAGCCACCACTGACATAATACACTGATATACAGTGGTCGCCACTTATTAGACTCACTTAGGGATCTTGTTCTCCACGACCTCTCCGTCCACTCAACAACTACGTCATACACGTTTTGATTGAAATTGTCGGGCGGCAGTTTCACTGAATTGACGACCGAAGTTCAAATTACTAAAATAATAGTTTTATCGAAATAACTATGGATAGGTTTTAGGTTTTGTGGCCTATAATTATTACAACACATGATATTAAAATTATGTTTGCATATTTTAATAATAAACACATTTTTTTCAATTCAGATGCAAACACTTCTAAACATTTTTATTTTTAATTAATTATTATTCACACGTAGGCAAGTACCTGGTATTTTTTAAGGGCAGATGTAGCCCCAAAGTCTATGAAATAAAAACATGACGTGTTCCCTGTTTCTTATGTCGGTTTTTTACGGTATTCAGATTTTAAGCAGGTTATGAGCATTTTTAAATTGCACTATTGTATTTACGCAAGACAAGCTAACAAATTAAAAAATTGAATTATCGTAAAAACTAATGTATGAAAACATTAGGTTCACAATAGGTTTGACTACTCTAATTTTTAAACTATTTTTAACAGGCAACAAAGTGCAGGGGATCAGCAATTAAATATATATATATTATATTCTAAATCGGCACCATTCGTATTTATATTACACACAAACAAACTGGCGGTATTAATAATAAATATAAGTACAGGTACATAATTATTTACTGTACGCAGTATTAATTTATACATTTGTATACAACACTAATTTTGTATCACAAGAATTGTAAAGTTTTGTTTACAGAAAACTTTTATGAAAAATATACAATCCTTTAACATCAAACGGATGAATGTATATTTAATGTACCTTTCTAAGTCCAAAAAAATAACTTTTTTATCAAACCTATTCCTATACATCCAGTGCTCGAATTGGGAAAAATTAAGTAGAGGAGCTCAATCCAACGATTTAAAAACTGTGTACCAAGTTCAGGGCCGCATTTAGGGGGGTGCATTGGGGACATTTGCACCGGGCAGCCAAATATTGATATATTTAGAGGCGGCCGGGCCCCGCTGTAACCCGATGTAGTATTGTATCAATAAATAATTTTTATTTGAAAAGAATTCGTACTATGACACGACTATTGTGAACTTAGCAGTGCAACAATAACGGATAAGTGCTAGCATAGAATATAATTAATATTATTTTAACATAACTACGGTTATAGATAGACAACCATGACTTGACATAAAGAATTATAACTAAAAATGTGTTAAGAAAAATAAAAAAGTGGATCTATTTTTTGGTGGGGGGGGGGGGCGTAAAATTATGGTTAACCCAGGGCGCAAAAATTGTAAATACAGTCCTGACCAAGTTCACAATTATTTAACACAGACCCTTGGGGGGATATTTGCTCCACACAAACCTTATTTATACTTTAAATACCACTTTTCAGCAACACATGTTTAAATTCCAAATATCATATATTTTGATACTAAAACCTACTTTATATAATATGTTATTGTAGAAAAAAAATTATAATCAACATCATTTATTCTATAGGTTTACTAAATTGATAACAAAATTAGTAATTATTGTTTTATAATTCAAAAGCGACCATATATTTTGATAAGTATGTTGTTCATCATTTACATTTTTTTTTTTGACAACATACTTCGTCAGCTGATTTATTACCAGTGCGTTATATCCAAGATATAACATAACAGCTTGGTTCAAATAAATTTACAAGAGGGCCAAGACCAATACAGTGTACCTATATAGTATGTATAATAAAGATGACATATTTGTAGTTGACAATGCATTTCATTTCGGAGCAACAATATTATTCATTGAACTGAACACACACTCGCACTCTGACGGTGATATAAGCATATAACTAATGCATATATTGCATCTTTTAAAGGTTTTAAATCGCAAAATTCGTTACATAATTGACGTAAATTGAAATCAACATTTTAACAAAAATTACTTTAGACCTAGACATTAGTTAGTACCGTCCCCCCGTTCCAGTGAAAAAATATAGTTGGGGTACGCAAAAAAATAGTAGAAGAGCTTCGTCTAGCTATACTAGACTGTATAATAACCAACCGTGGATTTAAGGGGGGCGAAAAGCCTAGCCCCTCCCACACCATTGGCATAAGTTAGGTTTTATTAATAGTGTTTATTTAAATTTTTGCAATTTTAACTTTTATACTGTTTCGCTCAAACACATTATATAAGAAATTCTCCCAAACACATTACTTTTATTATTCGGGTATAAAGGCAATTCGCCTTAACGCAGATCGCCTATTTTTTCCGTGTAATTTTCCCACTAGCTAATAGCCATCGATATCTTATCTTAATTTATTTGTCACACGATTAGAATATAGATTTAATCCATATCTTGTATTGGTATTATAATGGTATTTAAAAGGTCGTCGTTGAAATTCATACTGTTGTCCGTAGTTTTCGTTTGTATAGTTTCGTGCATGTTCAATTGTTCTGTTTTAAAATATTACAAAAACGACTTAGTGAAATAAAATTTTTTTCAAGTTGAAAACAAGTTTTGAATAATTTCATAAAATCAATTCAATTCATGTTTTTTGCCAACCAAAATTTAATATTATTTAAAATCTAACAACTGATACCCTATTATTTACATAATAAATCTGAAGAACATATTATAGAAGGTGCCACTTTTTATGAAGCAGATCTTCCCGGATCCATAAGCGAATTAAAAAGTAAAAACAATTATTATGATTAACCACTATGAACTTTTTCAAATTTATTGTACATGCATAATTATAATTTACAGGTGAAATTGCATTGTGGCAGCTGTATTAGACTCAACAACCAGTAAAAAAGGCAAAAATAAATACAGCCATAGATTACATCGAAAAAACTGTAGACTAGTTATAGGTAAGAAACCCTATCGTAAAAA